GGAAGGCTCCGAGGAAGGCACTGCAGGAGCAGGCTCGGTGTTCTCAGCATTCGACTGGGAAGGCTCTGAGGAAGGCACGGGAGCAGGCTCGGTGTTCTTAGCATCCGACTGGGAAGGCTCCGAAACAGGCTCGGTGTTCTTAGCATCCGACTGGGAAGGCTCCGAAGGCACGGAAAGAGCGGCAGCACCTTTCCGCTTCTTTGCTGCGGCCGCTTCAGCCTTCTCAAGTCTTCGCTTAGCACGTAAGGCCGCCTGTTCTTCTCTGAGCTCCCCGGACGTGATATCTTTGCCATTGGCACTGATGCTCATCTGCACTGGCAACTTCCACTCTCGGGCTGCACCATCTGGAATGAGAGGTTGACGGTCCTACCCGGGAATGTACGATATAGCATTGATCATGAGGCTTGGGGTGGCACGGAGTCCTTGAAGGCACCATTCGAGGTCTGTTTCTTTGCACCCGGGTCGTTGCCTGTGCCCTCGGTATCTACACTAGCCGGTTCATTCTGTCCAGCTACTTCGTTTAATTACTTGGCCCGGAAATTTCAGACAAGCTTCGGTCTCGTCATCCACCTGCTCGCTCGATCCAGCACCAGGCGCCTGGGAATCAAGAACTGGACCGTATATGGGCCTATATGGGTCGGAGATTTAGCGGTGGCTTTGGGATGCATGTGTTAGCAAGTTCCATATATATATATATATATATATATCCATATATATATATATATATAATTTCGGGGCCAGCTATATTTTCGTGTTCTCTTATTAATTAAATTTAGAATTATAATAATCAAGCTCAGCCGGAAGCACGTTGCTGTTGCAGGTAGGGGTTAGCGTTCAAAGTTGAGGGGTTGGCTACACCGGGACGAGAGGTCTTCAGATCCCATAGCCCTATAACCGTGTCCTATAGCTCTATATAGTGATAGTGACAGGATCCTTTCGTCGGAGCCGTCTAACACGTACTAATTGCATAAGCCCTCAGACACAAAACCACGAAGCCCCACGAAGCCGTTCTCCTAAGCAACACATATTTCACAGTTTATCCCTGGCCCGAACTTGCAATCAACCCCTTTGCTCAAGGCTGCACCTGGCTTTGGACGGGGTCGGCATCGAGATCCACGGTATCCTTGGCTCAGGTAAGAATCTTGCACATCATATAGTAATTACGAGGGCACTACACATTTTTAATTTTGGAGTCTGGATAGAACCTTGTGTGGCATCTAGGCTTCGGTTCGGAATGGTTGCAGCGGTTGCATTGGTTTCCGAGGATCAAATCAATACATCATGCGGCTGAAAGCCCAACCCTTATCCCTAAAACCTCAGCAGGCATGGCACTGGTACCAGTGCTTGCACTCCTGGATCGCACGAGTCGCCCATGTTCTGCTCTTCATCCTGCAGTAGTCAATTCGGGGTATATAGTGAAGGAAGTTTTCTATATTAATATTGGCGTCGGCAACATACTCTCTCTCTCTCTCTCTCTGCATCTAGATCTGACGGCCTCCTGCCCAAAGGATCCTATGTACTGTTATGGGGGATACTTCCCTAAGTCATAATATTAGTTCCTAATGTGGAAACCCGACATTCTACTATATCGGTACATTGGACCCTTTGGGCTGCAAGCCAAGGACTACCTGCGTACAGGTGTACTGATCGATTAGAATATATTTGGTTCTGTTGTTAAGCTTATTCTTACAGTCAAATGATGTATGTCGAACTCGCTCCATAATCGAGTGCCTGCTGCAGCTGATGCTCCGACGATACGTCGACGTCCATGGCCTTGACAATATGCACAATTCATGAATCCAAGCGAGTCTTGCTGGATGTCGTGGCAGAATCCCATCAACGGCTTGCCCATCCCACACGCAGGACTGCAGTATATCCGTTAATCAATCCTAAGCGCGCAATATACACCTAGCCTTAAGCTTCAAATGTTTACCAGCAATTGAGCCTGCACCTCGCCACGATCATCTCCAGGGACGTCGGCATCGATAAGCACGGTATCCTTGGCTTAGCTACGTATTCTTCAGCGGTGCTCCACGGGCTTTGGGCTTGGGCTGTAGCTATATATAGGAGGTTTGCCAAGGAGTCTCGGATGCGAGTTGACAGTCGGGCACCGAACCCCGATGATTTACAATGCATTATTAGCTATAGTGCACACATCCAGGATTTATCAGGCATGCCACGGGCACCGGATCGGACAAAGTGTCCAGCTTGCTCTGCTCGCGCTCCTGGAAATGCTCGGGCAAGACTTAAGTAAGCATCCCTGCGTCTAGCTCACAGCGAACGGTCAAGGAGTGCAGCATCGGACCTGTAGATTTATTATAATAGGCCAAAACGTTAACTAGGGTTTGATTTTTCTGTAGCTTCCGGGATTAGATCGCGTATTTATAGCATTTAAGGGCTTGTGTTCACACACGTACTCGTAACATATATACACACATATAGATGCCATGTATAGCGCATACCCGGCAGAAGAGTACTCATACTACATATATATACATATATGTGTATATATATATATGTATATATTAGATGCATACATGTTCAGCTGCATGGTATGTACGTACCACACCATGCCTATATATTGATTGATGCCAACGTGTGCGCCTGCATGACCAGCTCAGCAGGCGGTGGGGCTGCAACCTGCTCGATACCGCAACCAAACGATGCATAAGTGCACTGCTTGCCAGTCCCAGCCTCCCCTTCATCATCACTCGTCAGAATCTCGATTTTGCAGCCGAGCTCACCGTCGCCTCCGGGCCTGTCGTCCTCGTCGTCGCTCTTTGTACTGAGAATCTCGATGTCACTCTCATCATAGCTATCCTTCCAGGTTGCTCACACTAGATTACCTTATGCCTACCAAACCCTACTTTTTTCTTGGAATTTTTAGGGACCCTACTAGGTCAAAGTAATTACATGGTAGCTATTATTACAGCCATCGCTTTAATTTAAAGACGACAGTCCTCAAGCAAGATCTCCGCTTCAACCTCCGCATCAGATATCACCTCCGATACCTGCCCAGATCGAACTCAAAATCTCAAAGCACAAACCCAGCAGCCCAGCACCAACACGCTTTTAAAGACTGCCTCGGAGTCAACAGAACTGGAGCTGCCTTTCCTTTCCGGGACCTGCAAATTGTTGACCTTGTAAAAGATCGTTTTCAACACGGTGACCTCGGGAGACCTGCCAACTCATGTAGCCTACGTAGGCTTGGATTGCAAGCTCGCTGAATCAAGAGGGCCTCGCGAATGGCGTGCGATAAATCACCTTACAGAGATATCCGGCGAGCCATCGTAACCGCGTTCCCTGGAGTGAGGCCCACTCCTGTCCAGCATTACCCAAACGATTTACATGACAAGTATGTGCAACACAGCAAGGACCGACCTTGATGATTTTTTTGTGGCCTCGCATGGCCACGTAGGCCATGGACCAAAATCCGTAGGCGGCGCTGACGTAGAGCATCGCCACCTCAAGGCATCTAGATCAACCGAAATAATAATTTAAAGGGCACAATAGCCCAGTATCGTGGATGATGCCAAATATATATGTTGAGGCCCGAACTCTGTGGTTCTTGCACGACACTAGGTCCGGATTCGGTAGAGTCGTACCACAAAGCAGCATCGGAACGTATCTCTTCATTATGGCAAAGTTTGCCGAGTCGATCAGATCCTGCTGGGCCATGCCCGTGTCGTAGATCGTCACAACTTGCCGATCCTTAATTAAATCTGTTGCAGCACACACGACCGACGGAGACACTACCACACGAGCAGCCCATATTCAACACCTGGCCATGTCACTGGGCAGGCCTTGATGTCGGCAAGTCGACCTTCGACAGCAGGTCGCAGCACGTCCACCACTTTCATGGCGGCCTCCTCAACAAGTTCATCGAGATATTATAACTGGGCACTGGAATCATCAAAGATATGGATCAACTGGATCAACAACCCTCGTCCAAATTGGAGACAAGAATCAGGAACGAAGAAACGAAGCGGCTGCAACACTTGAACTCCCCTTTCAACAACACCACCGCGCGTTCGCTCGCTGTCCATCTGCCGAAACTTGGCAGGGGCATTACCATCAGCGCCCTTTGCCTGCTTCGAAGCCGGCATGGCGGGATGCTAAGAAAAACCCTTGTGCACACGTAGAGCGAGTCGATACTCGAAACACCGAATGCAGATATAAATGCTGGAGACATGCTGCTCTGATGGCCACAAATCATCTCATGTGCACAGACAGCGAAGCCTGTAGAGCGAATGCATGATCAGGTCACAGCGAGCACTCAGCATGCACACAGTGCACCATGCCATATCAATCTGAAATCCTGCATGCAACACAGCGAGCTCGAGGGGAAGCACCTTCCCGCCGCTTCTTGTGCGCATGGAAGAGCATGCCACTGAAGCCGGGCATCGCTAAAAATGCAATTAATTAATCGCACAGGGAATAAGTACGTACGAACCCAGTCGGAATCATATACCCATTATATAAATTTCGAACATGATAACTAGTCCCCAGATCTATATATCATATATATATATAGCTCTGAAAACTTAATCTGGCCAAACCACTTGATCTAGCACTGGGGACATGGCGCCGGCACAATGTGCGGGCGCCAGGTCACCAGAACCAGATCTAGACATGTCCAGCCCTGTGCACTTGAGCAAATGGGACGCGTGCACCTGAGAGTAAATCACACACACACAAACACACACTCAAGCCCTATACCCCCATACCACGCACGCACGTATACATGTGTGTGAAATCGTGTATAAATGTACAAACATGCCTGTCTCACATTTTTTCCTACTTTTTCAAGCTCATTGATCAAGGTTTTCAGCATGCAGACATGAGCTTTTTGCAATCTTTTTCTACACGTATACCAAGCTATACCAAAAACCCCATGTGAGTGAATAGCACAATGTGGGTTCTGGGACAATTTGGGCCGAGTAGTGTCCATATCAGCACTTGGACCCTTTGGGAAATCCACGGTGCACAAGGAGTTCCCGATGAAGGTTCACGAGTGCAGCCATCCGGCCGATGCGCTGAGGTGCCGGGGCAATCAAGCAGCGCGTTGGTGGGTGTGCACTCGTTGCGGCTCCCGTTGGGATCGTCCAGAGGAGAGCGGAACGACTTCGGCGGCCTCGACCAAGGCGGTGAATGTGGACGAGAAGGCGCCGAAGCTGGTGAGCATTCACGGTCGGGAATATCCTCGTTATCTACCTGCACCCCGAGGACGCCCACAACAAGGACCTCGCCAAGTGGATCTGACTCAGAGGGGCGCACCAAGGACGTTGCGGGAGGAGCCGAGCTCAGGGAGCACTGGTCCTGTGCCTTCTTCCACGGTTCCAGTGCCCAAATCGAGGGTGAGGCAAACTCCGCACGGACTGAGGTCGGTGCAGCGGTCAAAGACGCCAACGAGGGCATCTCATCCCGAGCACTTCGAGCTGAACACCGACCACGAGGACTGGGACGATGCGGAGATGATCAACCCGAATGCGGCCGATACGATCGACGAGCAGTCCTAGGAGCCGAGGGTCTGGAAAGCGGGCCCGCGCCCGAAACGAAGGAGCTGGCTCGCACCTTGCGCTCCCGAGGCTGGCTTCTGGCGTCGATCCTGGTGATGATCAGTCTTGTTGAAGCAGGTCGCACAGCGCAGCTGCCGGGCACCATGTTTGGATCACCTCGCGACCAACTGTGGTGGCATCGCGAGGACAACTGCTGGAAGGAGCATCCGCCCATCGAATTTCCACGTGTGGGATGCGCAGTGTTTCCTCGTAATCAAGTGCGCAAGGACTGGCTGGCAGACACTAGCGGCACGTGGGTGGAGATGAACCAGCAGGAGAGGAGACGGGTGGCCTCGTTGTGGCTGTCATCGTCACTCGCGGACGAAGAGATCAACTCTACGCCTCGGCTGATTCGCCGAGCGCGCGATCGGGGAATTGACGATCAGCTGGCCATGGATCTGGCCGTCGGCTGGGAGTATGAGCGGGCCGAAGATAAGGTGGAGGCTCTTCGTCTTCTTCGTGAACATCGTCCGGCGCGTGTGGCGCTAACGTTGCTGCCCGACAACAAGGTTCAAAGGGAGAACAACGAGTTCGCGGTCCGCCTCGCGCACCTTCAGCTGTCTGCTGGGCGAGGTTTCGTTATATGGAGTTGCCCACTTCGGCGGATACATGCCGGCTGCCGTCGCTCTGCAAGCTTCGGGCGTTGCCTTCGGCGTATTCCGTGATGATTGACTATAACCGTCTGGGCATTGGTGGGGAAAACATGCTCATTCAGCCCACTTTGGCCCTCACGAATGCACCGGAATTGTTCGCTGCTATGGGTCGAAGAGTACGTCAGCTACCACAACAGGCTAGGGCAGCTCCAGAAAGCACGGCTTCAACACAACGAGAACTTGCCTCCCACTTGAACTACGTGATGAACTACCACTTGCGAAACCACCTGAGGACGCGGCACGTGCCCATGAACCATGCCAAGGACCGGTGGATGTGGCGGGGAGACCTTCTGGTTTGCCGTCATTTCTTTCCTCGGCAAAGCCTTTGCACTCGGAGGAGTGCCCTTTTGACATCGCGAAGGTCAAGTTCACGGGTCAACGATCTACTCGCATGGACCCTGTGGGCGGACAAATCAAGGTGATCGACGACGATTGGCCTTCGCAGCGCTCCCGGGCAGTGGCTGTGCCTTGGACCGGGAGCACCATTTTTCCAGTACTGCCTCCGATTATGCTTCCTGAGGCATTGTCGTCTCTGGCCAGAAACCTAGCCAAGAGTGCGGCGCATGATTTCTTTTTGTTTCAGTCCGAACAACATGCACTACAAGCTGAGCTAGCTGTACTTCCTTCCGAACAACATGCACTACAACCCGAGCTAGCTGTGCTTCTTTCCGAACAACATGCATTACTACGAGAGCCATCTGCACATTCTCTCCCAGCAGCCTTTCCTTCGCACAGAATTTTGGAGGGCACTCGGACTTCAGCGGCTTCTGCCCGCCCTTCTGGCGACGTTCTGAGCAATGAGTTCGATTGGGACGATTTTCTGGCGGATGTCGAGACAGAGGAAACCAGGTTTCTCAGTGGAGGAACGCCCTTTGCTCGTGACGAAGCCGCGGATGCGAAGGAAGCTACTGCCTTTCCGTCCGAGGAGGAAGCCAGAGTGGCTCGCGAACTACGTGAGATCGTGTTGGACCCTACGGCTTCCGAGGAGGCGAAGCGCTCTGTGGTGGCCCCAGACATTCGACGAGAGGTGTATCGGCTGCATCGCAATCTGGGCCATCCCGAGAAACGGACATTCTTGAGGGCCTTGAAGCATGCTGGTGTTAAGGCCGAAATTCTGAAGTACGTCAAGGACGAGTTCAGCTGCCCTATTTGCCTGAGGCGACAACGACCCTCATCTCATCGGCCAGGACATTTGAGTCGCGAGATGGGTTTCAATGAGGTTATCGGCATTGACCTCATGTTCTTCCGCAAGTTGACTCTACTTAACTGCCTGTGCTGGGGAACCAACTTCCAATGGGTCGAGCCTCTGCCCGACAAGAAGGCCGAGACGGTCACTGCAGCGCTCTTGAGCTCGTGGTTCGCCCACTACGGAACACCACGTATGGTTGTGGCGGACCAGGGCGGGGAGTTCGCGGGCAAATACTTTGTGGACGCGCTCTCGGATGCGGGGGTGATCATCCACTTGATCGACGTTCGGAGCCCGTGGCAAAACGGCCGTACCGAAAATTGGCGGGATTTTCAAGGAAAAGCTCGCCACGGTGATCGATGAAGCGGCAGTGCGTGATGGTCAGGAAATGCGACTGGCCATCTCCGAAACCGTATGGACTCGCAATCAGTACTACGACAGAAGCGGTTACTCGCCTCACCAAAGAGTTTTCGGCAGCTCGCCTCGAGTACCCGCCACTCTCCTGTCGGACGACATGATTGACTCCAACCTCATCGTTGGCGGCGCCTCCGACTCCTGGCATCGCAGTCAAGAAATCCGCGCTGCTGCCCGAAAGGCCTGGATGCAACAGCAACACCGCGCGGCTGTGCAGCGTGCGGTGCATGCCAACACTCGCACAGCCGACGACAAGCCGTTGAAGGCCGGTGAGACTGTCTACGTGTGGAGAGAGACAGCCGACTACGTCGGTTGGACTGGCCCTGGTGTCATTGTGGCTGAGAGCGACAATCGACGATCTTTATGGGTGAGCTTGCGCGGCTATCTTATCAAGGCCTCGCGTGAGCAAGTCAGGAGTGCCAGTCCTGAAGAGCATTTGGGTGTTGAGTTGATTAAGGCGATTTCCAAAGAGATGTTGGAGGGGCTCGAGTCTGGTACGATCAGGAACTACCGAGACATCGAGCAGGAGGGCGCGCCACCTGGACGAGAACATACGTCGATTTCTGATGGTTCCAGAAAGAGGCCTTTGGAAACCATCGAGGAGGAGCTAGCGGAGTATGAGCCATCTCCCGTCGAGGAAGCAGCGAATGCGGCCTCACCTGAAGCGCCTATGACTTCCGAAGGGGATGATCGTGACCAGGATATGAGTCTTGGCGAAACGAGCACTCATATCCCCTCCGAGGCCCCTCTGGAATCGACTCCACCGTCGCGGAGGTTGAGCGCCGTCGGACCTGAAGCACCACCATCTCCGGGCTATGGCCCCGCTGCAACGCCTTCGGCTACTACACCGAGGACGCGGCCCATGCCGTATCCGTTCAACTCGTCAGCAGCGGCATGGCCTCGACCTCAAGCCTCCGCCAACTACTTCGAAGTGTTTGTGAAGGGCAAGGACGGGACAATGGATGGTGAACCGAAGCGCCGGCGGGCGCGCCACCACAAAGGCTACATTCCAGTTGCCTCTGATCGAAAGAGCTTCGAGGTATAGGATGCGTCTGCCATGTTCTGCAACCGGGACCGTGCATTCTACATCACCAAGAAGAAGGAGTCGCCGGGCCAAGTTGAAATGCGTGAGCTCAATGTGGAGGAGAAGAAAATCTTTCGAAAGTCACGCGCCAAGGAGGTTCAATCACTGCTGGACTCCGGCGCCATCACGATCCTCAGTATCAAGGACAGCTTGCAATTTGCTCGCGAGCACCCGGAGCACGTGCTGACCTCCAGGTACGTGGATCGATGGAAGCCGGAGGACGGGGTGACCTTTCCCAAGGACTTCGATGTGAAGCGAATCACTCCGGACTTTCGCGCCAAGCTGGGACCCAAGTCAAGATGGTGCGTCGTGGGTTGGCAAGACCCAATGATCCATGCTGTGGAACGAAGCGCTCCCACACCTTTGACTGTGAGCATGTACTTGTTCATGCAGTTGTGTGCGTGCCGTTCATGGCCAGCATGGGTAAAAGACGTAAAAACAGCTTTTCTTCAAGGACGACCCACAACCCGCAAGCAGAAACTCGCATGCCGCATGCCCTCGGACGAGGCCTTTGAGAGTTACGATGCGAGACAACTCATCGTTTTGGAGACAGAAGTGTATGGATTGGTCTCGGGCCCTGCATGGTGGCGGCGGTCGCTTCTGGAACTCTTGGTGAGAGATCTAGGCTACCGCATAAGCCCTTATGATCGATGTGTTCTCACACTTGACGGGAACTCGGAGGACGAGGACAGCGAATTGGACTCGTCTACGGGTCAGCTACGGTGTCTTCGCGACCGAGGCCGTCTACGACGCACCCAGGGCATCATCGTCGTGGAAGTGGACGACCTGCTGGAAGCTGGAGGACCTCGACACCGTCAGCTGATGGAGCGACTTGAGACCAAATTGAAGTTCGGCAAAATCCAATGCCTCCGAGATCAGCCCAATGGCACATCCTATGCCGGGCGTCGCATTCATCAGGACCGAGATTGGGGCTTCCGCTACACGATGGATGATTACATCGAGCAGCGTCTCAAGCCGGTGCGGCACGAGCGCAAGACCCTCAAGAAAGATGCGGATCAAACGCCGGTTTCAGTCGGCGAAGAGGCCCAGCTGAGAGGAACGGTGGCGGCCGTGAACTGGGTTGCCAGAGAAGGACGACCCGATGCGAGTGCTGCTGCATCCATTTACTCGGGCATCTTCGGCAAGGCTGTTGTCGGCGACATCGACCGGGTCAACGACGTTGTGTTCAAGCTGAAGGAGCACCCTCTTTCTTTCCGCGTGCACCCACTCAAGGAGTCCGAAATTCGACACTTCGTCATCGCTGACTCGTCGTTCGATGCGAAGGGAGCCGAGAAACCGCAGCACGGTTGCCTGCAGGGAGCGACCACCAGTGCCCTCAATGCCGGCCAGATTGCCAAGGTCAGCCTTCTGGGTTGGAGGTCCAGAAGGATGCGGCGGAAAGCCGGAAATACGTTGCTGTGCGAAAGCATTTCGCTATCGACAGCTCTTGGGGCCCTAGAACGGCAAAGCGCCATGTGGCTCTCTTTCACGGTGTCGCACTTCGATCCTCGCCAGATGGCCCAGGACGAGGACGAGGAGCGCGGATTGCACGGCGAAGGTACAGTAGTTCTCGAGGAGAACGAGTTCTACGTCGACCCTCTCTCCGTGGCCGTGGTCGATGCCAAAAGCTTGTTTGACGCTAGCATCGCTGATCAGTCCACCGGAGAGGACGACAGAGCGGCACTGGAGGTTGCCATAATCAAGGATAGTCTAGCTAAACTTCGGGGTCGTCTGCGCTGGGTTCCGCATAACACGAACCCTGCGGATCACCTCACCAAAGCTGTTGGTGCCCACGAGCAACCTCTCATGGATCTCATGTTGTCCGGAAAGTACAGGATTGAGCAAGAGCATGAAGTGCTCGAGCGAGGTAAGCAAAGCAACCTTCGCTTGAAGTCTAAAATCTAGACTTCGGACTGCTCGGCTCACAGAATTTTAGGGGGCTGACATTCTGAAATGCAGTTCCGTGGTGAGCCTCGCTTTACCTGCTGATCCGCAGGCCTTGAGCCTCAAGCACGTGTAGCGTGAAAAGTGTGTGCGAGCTGTGCCCGGGATAGCTTTGTGTTATCACAGGGGTGTGAATATGCTGGTAGTATTCTTTCCCTTGGCATATTCTCCGTGCAGTTAGTATTCTGTTACCCGAGATCCTATTCTGATGGTTTTGCGGTTTCGGTGCTAGGATAGAACTTCGCTTTGCTTTGGGAAGGGAGCGGGTGGTGGGGATGGGGGAGGGGAGGGTGGAATCGTTCTCATGCCAACAACTTTCTTGGCAACTCCGCAGTTTTGACGATGGCTTGGCACCACAACTTCCAAGGGCCCATAGACCTTTGCACCCCTCCGCTTAGGATGCCGGAATCAATCCCCACAGCCTTCCTCATGTACCCCGACAGCTTTTTGATGCGGTCCCAGTTGAAACCCGACTGCGACTTTCCAAAGTAGCTAGGGAAGGTCCGCTGAGAAAACATGCAATGCCCTAAGTTTCAAGGCAGGATGATCCTTCATAGTCACTTCGACAAGCATATATGAGTAATTTTGCTGGCAGGCGTGAGTATAGAGCCCATTCTAATAAACCCGCAAAGTAATCTCAACAGAAGAGTTCCGCATCATTCCGGTAGCATGCGCTGCGAAGGCAAATCGACGCTGCTCAACGTCTTGGCAGGAAGGCGCTCACACATGTTGTCTGAGGTAGGGCGCCATAAGCAGTCTCCTAAAGTCCTGTGAAAGCTTGTTCCTGGCATGCTTTTGTGAGCAGCCTTCGATGAATTTGGTACATCTCCCCGGTCGCTGTTCATATGTTGGCATGTTATTCACCTACCGAAGCGATATCACACGCATTTGTGTGTTCATGCATGTTAGCACATATACTATACGTGGGAAGTCTTATTCTCTGCACAGGCATCTATGTATGTATGTACCTATCTATCCATCCAGCTATCCAATTAATATGTCAGTCAATGAAGGCAAGAGTTGGCATTAGTGTTCGTACGTATGTACGTACGTACGTACGTAGGTATGTATGTATGTATGTATGTATGGTTTTATGTATGTGTGTATGTATTTAGGTATGTAGGTATGTATGTGTGTGAGTGTATGCATGTGCGTGTGTGTATGTGCATGGTGTATGCGTAGGCATAGTGGCATAGTACAGGCAGACATATCTACTTATCTATATGTATACAGGTGTGTAGGCGGCCAGGTTTCTTTGAGCATCTGTCCGTTCTGCTGCAAGCAAAAAGTGCCCGGGATTGACAGCCCGCGACCGTCTTGCTGAACATACACCCCTGCCCAGAACCTAAGCAGATAAGACCTCTTCGGAGAGGGGCTGGCCGCGATGACGGCTGCGGAGGGGTTGAGAATGCACGAGGGATGATGCCTTACTACTGGCTGTCACACTGCAGCGGCTATCCATACAGTAGACACCAATCCCGACCTCCTTTGCCACTTACCCTCCAAACCCCGAACCCTAACTTTCCTAAACACAGGCAGCTTACAAATCGCGTCTTCCGCATCGATGGCGAGCTCCGCGTCAATGGGCGGAGTGTGGAGCCCTGGCGACTGCGGCCGCGGGTGGTCGGGGCCTCAGATATGGGTGTTCGTGTGAGGTTAGATGTAATGACGTATATAGATACACAGCAGATGCAAGAGTAGATAAATATCCAAGTCCAAGTACACGTGTGAAAACAGGAGATGTATACATGGGCACAGAGTCCTCATCACGTGCATGTCGATTTGTACATGTACGCATATCTGTGTACACATGTATGTATGTGTGTAAGTACTGTATGTATGCAGGTAGGTCGGTGAGTAGGTAGGTAGGTAAGTAGGTAGGTACATACATACATATGTACGGGTGGATGGATGTGCCAATCAGAGCTGATTCATGGATAGGGCACAGTAGGCTTCGGTGCATCGATTGTACGCGAATCCAGTGCAAGATGGACAGGTGATAACAGGTCTTAGGTGCAGAAGCATTTCAGTGGTAAATGCTGGTGTTGTTATTGCTGTCATGTTTGTTGTTGCTGTTGTTGCTCGTCAAGTACAGAGAGCTTATTCCATCAATGTCTCTGTCGAGCATCACTGCATGTTTTGAGGGTGTCATAAAGCCAAAACCCTAAGCCCTAAAACCCAAGGCCTACGTGATGCAGAAGGATGAGTTTTTCGCGACGGAGACCCCCCGCGAGGCCCGGGGGCTGCATGCAGAAGGTGGATTCAGTCAGGAAGTGTTAAACAACAGACCAGTTTTGGGGTACAGGGTAGCTAAACAAAGTCCTCCAAACATGTATAACAAGCCTCCGAGTGATGGTCCCGGCCTTGTTTCTACGAGCTGTATGCATCGCACACATCTAACCACATTGAACACAGACCAAGAGGCAGAGGCTGGTGCAAAGTGCTTTGAACACAGGCACCGGACGCATGCGAAGTTTATGGCAACAGGCAGTGCCCGCGCACGACACACCGTTCTCTTATCCGTTTGGTGTCCTCGCAAACTCGGCTTGCGAGCACATTTCGCAGCCTTCGCCGCGTATAACTACTTAGACCGAAAGTAGGAGGATCCTCAAGAAAATCATCCCAAACATGGTACGGCTGGTTTGTTTGTGGCTGGGGTCACTTGGTCTGTCAGCACAATCCTGTCGGGAAGTCTTTCTTGTGCCGTTCATTGTTTAGGGTCCAGGTTTTTTTTAGGTTGGCCTCCTTCCATTCCTGTTTCATACATCAGGGGACCTAGTAAGTGCGTCAAAACCAGAACGGCAAGTAGGGTCCTCCCCAGTTCGGATACTTAGAATACACACACAGACCTTAAACCCGAAATCCGAAGCCCAAAGCATGAACCATGAATCCCGAAAGCATTAAGCCCGACCTGCTCCTGTAGCTGAAAGGACTTACCTTTTTGTGGAGCTATATATAGAAACCATAATAAGGAACCCCAGAAAGGTAGGTCTCTTTCGGCTACAGGTAGACCCTCAACAGAGCGCGTTGTGTGCTTGCCTGAAAGAGGCCATCCTCTTCTCGGCTCGTCTCAGACTTTCAGCCAATCATCTGGCAGAGCTGGAGGCACATCTCCTCCGGCCTTGAAGGCTTAGGACTCTAGGGGCTTAGAGTCTTGTTTTCAGTGCAGGGGCAGGATTTCGGGTTAGGGCCGCAGGGGTTCAGGTTTTAAGGTTGAAGGTTGTTCAGCACATTGGCCCAAGTTGCCACAACTAATCCTTGGGGTTTAACAGTTTTTGTTTTGCAGGTTAGTGTTTAAGGACTTGGGTTCGAGGATAAGGGTTTGGGTTGTACGGATTAGGGGTTAGGGATTAGGGTTCAGGGGTTACGGTATTTGTTGTCGGGGTTGGGTTCAGGGATTTGGGCACAACCTAGAATTTGGGGTTGCCCGGGTACCAGGTTTTTCGATGTCGGGTTTAGGGCTCAGGCAGGTTTTGGGCTTATGGGTTCAGGTGAAGAGGCTACACATAACTCCACTGCTGGGCTACTTACGACGAGTTGGTTCAAGTACGCATCTGCGAGGAATATCGGTGTTGGTCGAAAGGTGGATATCCCAATAGAATTTCTCCAACTTCCTCGCAGCGGCATACCAGTATGAAGGATTTCTGGCACCAGAAGCGCCGGAACAAATCCGGTCGCAATATGTTTGATGAACTTCATATGCGCCATCAAAAATCGGTATACGTGGTAAAGTGGTACCTTAAAAGAGATCCCTTGACACCTTAAACCCTAACCCCTGCAACCCAAAATTCGAATCCCTACACCCTAATCCTTAAACCCCAATCCTTACACCCTAATCCCTAAACCTATCCCCTTGGGGGCTTCGCACAGGCGGAAAAAACCCGTTATCAAACAAAAACCCAAAACCAAGCCCCTACGCGCTAAACCCAAATTCCACAACTCTAACCCCTACACCCTAAACCCACAACCCTCATCCCTTAACTCCCTAAACCCGAAACCCTCATTACTAATTCGTAAACCCCGAACCCCTACTTGACGCCAGGACAAACCCTACACGCTAGACCCTCAACCCTTATCCCTAAACCCTGAACCCCTAAACCCTGAAACCCTGAACCCTGAATCCCTAAATCCCTCAATCCTTAAACCCCTAATCCCTAAACCCTAAACCCTAAATCCCTAAATTCCTAATTCCTAAACCCAAAACCCTCAATCCCTCAATCCTTAAATGCCTAAACCCTAAACCTTATCAGGACAAAGGTATCCACAGCTACATCTCCCAGCTGCTCGAGTCACTGGGCCTCTCCGGCTGCTGTGATCGGCCCCTGGGGCTCGCAAAATGGTCATAGACGATTAGAGATTAGGAGTTTTAGGGGTTTAGGAGTTTAGGAATTTTAGGGGTTTAGGGTTTTAGGGGTTTGGGGGTTTAGGAGTTTAGGGGTTTAGGGTGTAGGAGTTCAGGGTTTAGGGCTTGGAGTTTCGGAGTTTAGGGTTCAGGGTTGAGGGCGTTGGTTTTAGAGGGCTTTAGGTGTCTTATTTCGGTTGAGCAGAGTGTCGTAGGAGTACTATATTAGTTTAGGGATGAGGAGTTGATAGGGCTCAAGGGTTGTATGGGGTTTTAGAGTGGTAGTTTAAGGGCTGAATAGGGAGTCGTTTCGGGACTGCATAGGGTTTCAACGTGGCAGCCTAAGGCCTTCTAGAGTATGCAGGGTTTCTGTTATTGGGTTTGTTATGTGCTCTAGGGTTTATATAGAGTTTTGGCCTTGGGTGACAGTTAGGGGATTACACAGCGGTGTATAGCTTATTATGATTTTTGGAGTTCAAGACTAGTACGACACTTGACCACAAACAATTGTACTAAGAATAGTGAGCCAGAAACACGTTGTCGTTCTTGGCATGCCATCTCTCTCTCTGACCACTAAACCCAAAAGCCTACACCCTAAGTCTTAAGTCCTAAGTCTGAAACCCTATGGGTCAGATCTTGAGCTGTAAGCCTTGTAGAACCCGACAAGCAGGGAGCCATCTAAAACCCGAATCAGCTCTGATCGTTCTCTTACATCCATAGAAGTATATATGTATATGTCAATATATACATATCAATATCTGTGTTTGCATCCCTCCAATCAGCGTTGGGCTTTGTTCGTCCCTCACGTCCTTAACCCGAAATCCTAAACTTCCAAGCCCCAACCCCTAAACCAACAAACCGTAAACCCTAAAGATCAAAACCCGGGACCCAGTGATACCAGCAAGTGAGGCGCATCGGAGGAGCCAGCCTCAACGGCATCAGCAATGGAGAGCGGAAACGCGTGAGCGGCGGCCTCGGGCCCCAAGACGTGATATGGGGGTTTCCGAAAATAGGGCACCCTAATATAGCACCCGAACGAAATAGTAGGATCTTTTTTATAAGGACCCCGATAAGGTACCCCTAATTTTCGGAAGCTCCCAGATACCACAATCGAGTGTAGCATAGGATGATTTAGTACAACTCAGTGTAATGTACTAAAGTTTACCATGATATGTTCTAGGCAGAGAGTTGCAAGATACTTTCTTATAGTACAGCATACTGGCATGTACTATAATGTACTATAAAATTACAGATAATGTACCAAAATGTACCAGATCGTAATATCATGTACTGCCATGTAAGGGGCCAAGGTTGAGGAACTTGCCCCATGGTGTCGCATGAAGGAATGTGTTAAGTTCACTATTCTGGCAGCTGAGTGCAGAACAAGAGCACTGAAGACCGCCCAGAGAGTCCAATATCCCTAGACCACGGAAGCCCTAAACCCAAGGCCTTAAAACCTAAACCCAAAGCCCTAAACCCTAAAACTCTATACCCTATACCCTAAAACTCTAAAACCTGAAGCCCTAAACCCTGAAGCCCTGACCCTCAACCCTAAGCCAAAAATGAAGGTATCGGCGTCGAGCTCATCACGCGGCTCGCGACCCAGGAGTTCCATGATCTTTCCAGGGAATGACGGTGCACCAGGTTTTAGGGTTTAGCGGTTAGGGATCGTTGAGAAGAGGCATCATAGAAGTTCGTTAAGAGGAAACATGGTCAGAGCAACAGCACGAACAGCAGGAAGACTCTGAACCTCAGCTCTGAACCCTCAACCCTAAACCCTATGGCTAACGCCTTAAAGTCCTGAAAACCTACATCTTAGCCTATAGACCTTAGACCCGAAGCCTGAGCCCGAAAGCCCATTGCATGTGCCAGGCCTTCGATTGTTTTCTTGGACGAGCCGCCAAGGGCCCAGCAAGCTAACAAAGGGGCCTAAATATTGACCTATACTATTTTGGGGCTTCCTTACAATATTTATAGTATAATGGGCCCCAGAACCGTATTCTAATTATTAAGGCCCCTATATTGCCGAAGGTCTGGATTCTTGTTTGTGGATTGCGGTTCAGGGCGAGCTGAGGTTTGTGCCTTCAAGGTGGAGGGTTTAAGGTTCAGGGCGGGAATCCGGTTTAGGGGTTAGGGTGCGTGTAAGCTTGCGGGTTCAGGATTCAGGCTAATTACCTTGTCGAAAGCGGCTCACGCTTGCTTTCCCATATGAATGAATTCTCGGCGTACATTATGTCATTGATGGACCCTAGGCTCAAACCCCAAAGCCCTGAACCTGAACCCCGAGACCATAAACCCTGAACCCTTTACCCCAAACTCTACACCCATCGAGCTGACAAGGACCACCGGCTTGGACTCTTTCAGCGCCTGGCAGGCAATCACCTGGATTCTCAGGGTTCTGTGAAGGCGCTTGAGGGTTTAGAGTTTCAGGGTTTCTGTAGAGAGGTCTTCCAGACCACTCCTCGCAACTCCTAAACCTTTATCCTTAAGCCCCAACCCCTACGCCCCAAGCTCTTAACCCCAAACTCGACATGCTTAGCGCCAAGCTGTAAATGCTTCCCTAAACTTTAAACAGTAACCGTCACAGAATCGCTGGTCTTGACGGCCCCATTATCTTGTCTCCTTCTAGATGAAGGTCCAGGGTCAGGGTTGTCTTGCCGTCTTGTCCAACCTTGTCTGATGATTCTACAGCAGGGACCATCGCAGAGATGTTCCCGACTACTCTATGTACGGTGGTATCGTTGGCCATAATAAGTTGACCGGGCAAGTCTAAGTCTACTTCGGTATAAGTAGCTATCCTATCATAAGAGCTGAAAAGGAGTAGTGAATAGTGGTGGTCAATTTGACCTCTAAGTTACGTCATCTCTTTCAGGGTCTTGGAGAAGTGAGACCTGGCAGCGGGAGGTTGGGACTGCCGGCTTTCGCAACATCCTACATCCGAAATCGGGTTTCGGGCTTGAGATTTTAATTTCTATGGGCTCGAACTGCAAGCCCGAAGTCTTATCCCTTTACGGCCTAGGCCCTAAGCCCTGAACCCTAAACCCTAAACTCGAGTGCGTCTGTTTGTGCTACAATGTGGCTACAAGTTTGCCGTGAGGGTTGTTAGTTTTTGTCCGAGTTCTGAGCATGCCCGAAACTGTGCTGGATGGTGCGGAGAACGTCGACTTCTCTTTCAAAGAAACCCAACTCTAAACGCTAAGTTGGGTTTTGGGCTCCAAGCAGGGAGAGAGTTCCCCAGTCTGGAAGGTGATGCGAATCGTCAAGGATCTTGCTCTCAGTGGCTGCATGGGCCCCTGCTACTTATATTACACCATACTATATTATCGTACTGTAATAAACTATACCGTACTATATTGTTCTATATTGGACTGCTATAGCGTGCTATGCTATTCTATACTATAATTCAATGCACCATACTATACACTATACCACACCATACTTTACCATTTATTTCTTTTGCTATCTTATATTAACGTTGCTGGGATACTGCTAATGGACTTTTGGTCCTTGCTTTGCTTCTTCTTCTTCGTTCCGTTGTTGGAGCTTCTTGTTGGCCTTCAAGAGACAGCTAGGCATTGTTTGTATATGTGAATGCGCATCGATATTGTTGCTGAGACTCGTTCTCTATGCTTCATAGCGCCCTTCCTAGCACCTCAATTCCATACCTTACGTAGCGGGTCAGTGGACTTAGTAAGCAATTTTTAAGTAGAAGGAAGATCTTCTGCATGGAAAGAGCTTTGGCACAAGCCTCGGATGATGAAAAGCGCACAGTGCTGTCATGAGCTGTTGTTTCTCACAGGTTCTGGTGGTGGCATATGAAATTAAAATGCGTTGAGATCCACGATGATCTAGTGTCATGGAGTGAACGTGGTGTTATGTAAGTTCTTAAGCTGGCACCCCGAAGAGTTTGCAAGAGGGCGCCTGGCTGAGTTCCGCCTACCACGCCCGAGACCCAATCCAGCACCTTAGACCCCAAGCCCGAAAGCCTAGAAACCCACGATCTGAACCCCAAACCCGTATATAAACCTGAAAAGATTCAAACCCTAAATCCCCCAAAACCTTAGATCCTAAGCCCTTGACCTAGATCCTAAAGTCCTAATGCTAAAACCTGATCCGGTTGAGCCTCATAGCTGGCCGAGTCCAGGCACCGTGATTTGCACCATCCACCAGCCGTCCTCGGTGAAACTGGCTCTCTTGAGTTGCTTTGAGGTTCAAGGGCTTAAGACTCATTGCAGCTATGCCCGCCATCCCCGCACGGTGCCGTGAGTGTGTGCAGCTGCTTCGGACATTTGAGTTTATAACAAGCCCGGCTGCACGACCTCCGGCACGGAGCCCGCGAGTTGGCAAGAAACTGGCTTCCTCATCGTGATCCGCAGGTAAATCCTGAACGCTTTCATTGACATCTTACACATCTCATAAGTCCAAATCCCTGCATTGCCAGGAGATTTTCGCAATGGTGGACCGGGCCACGACCTCGAATCCCAAAACCTACACTTGCCAGAAGCCACTAACTTTTTAAAGCCCGGGCACACTCTAGAATCTGAGAGGAGGGCGCACTTTGCCCGGCACTTGTTGCTTACGCTGATGGGTGGTACATGCATGCATGCATGCGTACATGCATACATATGAACAGTCATGCATGTATGCATGCGTGCACGTGTACATCAATAGAGTAAATGCCAACTCTGTACGTTTGCTCTCAACTTCTGCTCCTCTCAAACCTCCCTCTCGAATTTTCTCTCCTCCCAAATTACCTCTCCCCATATCCTCTCAAATTTTCTCTCCTCTCAAATTCCCTGTCCCATATTGTCTCAACTTCTCTGTCAGTTCAAATTCCCTCTCCCATGTCCTCTCAAATTTGCTGTCCTCTCAAATGCCCTATCCCCATATACCTCTCAAATATGTTCCTCCTCTCCAACATTGTCTCAAATGTTTCTCGAGTTCCCAAAACAGGGATTCGTAAATGTTTCTCAAATTAATTCTATATATATATATATATATTTATTATTATTATTTTTGTTTTTTGTTTTTTGTGCTTGCCCCCAGTGTGTGCCAGTATACACTATTAAAGAACTTTAAATCCTCTACGACACTCCAAACCGCACCCTAAAGCACTTCTTTTCGCAGCCCCCCTTTGCTGAGGTGATCTGCCTCTGTCACCAGCGCGCCATCTTCCAGGGCCCGGCGGTGGACCTGGCAAAGTGGCTGGAAGAGCTCGGGGCCCCTGGAACCCAGAGATTCTTCGGATTAGGGGTACCTTTAGGGGTTTAGGGTTTAGGGTTTAGGGTTTAGGGTTTAGGGATCCTACTTTATGGTCTTAGGTATATGGTATATTCTTTCATTAAGGGGTATTGGTCCCCTGGAACCCAGAGACTCCACTGTCCCTCAATTCATGAATAGGTATGTTCCTTCATTAAGAACCCAGAGGCTCCAATTTGGGAGTTTCCGAAAATTAGGAGTACCTTATTGGGGGTCCTTACAAAACCCAGAGATTCCATTCCGATAATCATGGGTACCTGATTGGGGGTCCTTACAATAAGGATCCTACTATTTAGGGTGCTATATTAGGGTGCCCTGTTTTCGGCAACCCCCAATGTCCTTAGACCGTGACTAACAGTAGGGATCCTACTTTATGGTCCTAGGTATATTCTTTCATTAAGGGGTATTGGGGTCCCTGGAATTTAGAGACTTCAATTTGGGAGTTTCCGAAAACTAGGGGTACCTTATTGGGGTCCTTAAAATAAGGATCCTGCTATTTAGGGTAGGGTGCCCTAGTTTCGGAATCCCCCAATTCCTTCACCCAATTCCTTCAATTCACGAATAGACGGTGACTAACAGTAGGGATCCTACTTTATGGTCCTAGGTATATTCTTTCATTAAGGGATATTGGGGTCCCTGGAAGGGTGTGCTTGGTGTTTGTTTTATTCTGCTTGTGCTAGGGTTTAGGATGTTTAGGCCCGTTTAGGCTTAAGGGTTTAGAACTTTTTTGAAGGGGGGCTTGGAGGGTGGGGAGTTACGGGGGGTTTTGCATATTTTTTTGTCAGGGTTTGCTTAGGAGTTTTGGGTTCAGCCTGCACATGTGAATTATTGTCAAGGGGTTTGTGGGTTGAGGGACCAGGGCGTCTTGGTTTTTTTTTATGGGCCTTCAGGGACGATGGATCTAGCGTTGTGAGGTTTGGGTTCTTACATGGGGTTGGAGGCACACCACCGAAATGTGCACATCGTGTTGTTGCCTTTTTCTTTGGTTTTCCATTGTGTTGCGATGTGTTGTGTCTCTTTTCGGCTTGGTGTTCACGCTTGTGTGCCGTAGTTTTGCGTTTGCATCTCCTTTAGATCTCGGACGCAGGGATAAAAGAAGATTCCTCTATTCCTTAATTACGGGATATCGGAGTCTCTGGGCACCCGAAGCGTTAGATGCCCGCCCAGGTCCGGCCGACAGGTGCCTCGGGACTACAACCCAGCAGACTATGCCAGCGGCCTCATATTGCTGGGGTTCGATGATGAACAGTTTACTAAAAGTAGTCGTAGTAGTAGTAGTAGTAGTAGTAGTAGTAGTAGTAGCAGTAGTAGTAGTAGTAGTAGTAGTAGTAGTACCAGAAGTAGTAGTAGTAGTAGCAGCAGCAGCAGTAGTAGTAGTCGTATAGGAGGAGGAGGAGGAGGAGGAGGAGGAGGAGGAGGAGGAGGAGGAGGAGGAGGAGGAGGAGGAGGAGCAGTAGGTACGTACGTACGTACCATGAGTATTACCAGTACTACCAGTACTATCTGTACCATTAATACTATTTATTTGTATTGATTGGTATTGGAATTAGTACTAGTAGTGCTGATATTATGAGTGTTGTGAGTAATTATTGTGATTATGCTTCGTCCTCTGCTTAACGTCAGTTTGCTATTAAATTAATATTGTCTGAGTATACTGTCGGGAAGGACCCGCGATGGCCCAAAGCACAACGCTCAGGTCATGTTCCTCATGGAGACCCTGCCCCGAAGGGATGTGGAGCTTCTCTGTGACAAGAGCAAAATGAGCGACTTGGCTGCGAAAAGGTGCAGATCCAAGGGACACCTAGGTTTTGGTAGCCAGAATCACAGCAGTGGTGTTGATGAGAGTCATCAACATCACGGTTATCACCGAAGTACCCGGAAAACCAGAGTTCCTGCGAAGATGCACTTGCTGGGCCCTCATGCCGCCTGACAGATCGCGGTGGGTCTCCCAGACTCCTCCCTTGACTGCCCTGGGGCATCATGTCATGTGCACCCTGAGTTTGTCTGCGGGCAACATCATGAACAGAGTCGTGTTGCACCATTCGCGAGGGCCGCAATCAGGATAATCCGTCGTAGCTGTGCAGTTCCGTAGCCTCTACTGTCGTCGGAACTGCCACCACCGCCGGCAGCGTCCTTTGTAAGCTACCTCAACGAAACCAACTTATCGTTTTCTGAGTGTTTTCTGCAGACGTCTTGAGCCTGAACCTTTTGATTCTCTTAAACTCTGTAGACCCTGAAACTTTTGATTCCCCGAAGCCCTCAAAAGCCCCAAACCCGAAAGCCTAAACCCTTAAACCCCGAAACCCTAAGCAGCCTAATATAGGGGCCTAAAAAATTACCGATAATACTATTTTCAGGGGTCCTTATTATAATAATAGTATAAGATACCCCAAAACCCTACTCTAATTTTCAAGGCGCCTATGTTAAGCCCTTTGTCGAGTCGGCAGGTCGGGACAGCAGCTTCCGCCCTAGTGCCGAAGGCGCCACTGCCCCGCAGAGGCCTGGATCAGTCTCAACAGAAACGTATAGGGCTATAGGGTTTATAATATAGGTTCAGGTTAAGTCGGATTTTTGGTGCTCAGTTTGAGGGTTTGAGGGTTTGGTTCGCAGAATCTTGTCGATTTCAGCACTGCGGCGCTTCCTGTGTCAAAGTGCTGGGTGCTCATGTGCGAAGCCTTTGGATACGTGTTGACATGACGGTTGAATGATGCTGGGTTTAGCTTCAAGGATTCTAAGACTTGCAAACGGCTTGGGTACCTGAGTTTTGACCAGAGGTTTCGATTGACTTGTGTTGACGAAGCTGTTTTTTCCTGAAGGGTCTGACCGGTCGACGCTGGGCTGTGCTGCAGTAGGCTGGTGGCGGGGCTTGTCGCGAATCCACAGATGGATGGTTATAGTATTATATTATAGTATGCAATATCTATTTGTATTAGCCCCGAGAGCTTAAATGTTTGGGGCTCAGTGTTTCGACGCTAAGGCTTTCGGGTTTGCAGCCCAAAATCCCAAGGCCCAAAACGATGTTCAAGCCCAATCCGACTAAAGGGACCACCCAAAATAGGGGCAGAACCCATACGGCTGATACTCATGTATCCTGTAACTCGACGCATACCCGAGAACTGAGTCCGTTGATCCTGCAAGTATGCCGTACCCCACACAGACGTATCGAAAGCTTCTACACCTGACATATCCTGAAAACCTTAACCCCAATGCCGATCCCCCTCCCCCCAAAAAAAAGAAAAAGCAAAGAAGTTGTAAATCTGGCTCTGGCAAAGTGACCCCGCAGAAGCCCCCAAGGTCCAAACCAAACGCCAATGTACCAGCCTTGCGGGCTCCCTCCAACCCTCGCACTTGTGCGGCGCCGCGTCACTCCACAGGGCCATGGACGAGTACATGGGCAAGCGCCTTTTATGTAGTACGTAATCCAACCCACCCCAAACCCTAAAACCCTAACCTGGAAACCCGACAAAACCCGAAGTATCGGACTTGACATCCAGGCTAGAACCCTCGAAAATGCGCAAGGGCTTCGGCCTGCAGGTGGCCGGGTTTTGGGCTTCGGCCTTTCAGAGTTGCCAGGGCTTTACAGCGTGTTGGAGGGTGTTATAGGACTTCCAGGTTGACAGGGCTTTTCCGGGTTTCATACAGTTTTTAACATTTTGGGTTTCGCAATTTCACAGTGAAGCACTCTGGACGCTTTGCTTTTCGGGGGGCCCACCGTGTGGGATTTACATGCAGTTATGGGGCTCTGTATGGTGGGAGGACGAGGGCAGAGGCACCCTAAACCCTGAACCCCTGAGGTTTGAGGGCTCGAGGACTCTCAGGGTGAGTTCTCCAGGATTCCTGCTTAGGGTTTATTTGGGAGTTTCCGAAAATTAGGGGTACCCTATTTGGGAGTCCTTATGATAAGGATCCTACTATTTCGGGTACTATATTAGGCGCCCTCGTTTTCGGTTTCGCTCTTCCTATGTTTCCCATGACCAAAGCAGACAAGTTCTAGTAAGCCCTAGGTTCATTCTGACCATGAATCTGTTGCACCTGCGATCGGAGTTGCTGCACACGTCTGCTTTGCTCCATTCCCCGCCTCCTAGTGTCAGGTGTGGTGCCTGACGCAGAGGGAGTGGCGAAACCTCAGGCTGGATGGGTGGAGGGCTGGGATGCTTTTCCTTGCGGGCAACAGAAAACAAAGGCTTCTGACCCTCGACCCCGAACCCCGAAGCCCAAAACCCCCAACTCTAAATCCCGAACCCGGAGCAGAAGCCTTAGAGCCCAAAGTCTAAACTCAGTTCGGAACTTGAAGGTTTTATAAATGAAACTCCCATGCAAAATCCCAGCAACGAGGCGCGACAGCGCGTCGCTCAAGCCGTGTGCCCCAGAGTTGAAGGTTTGGGTTGGAAGTTTCGGGTTGTAGCGTCACTGTGTATCGGCATGCAAGCTTTTAGGTTGGGGGTGTTCAGGCCTTCTGATTAGTAAATCTAGGGTACCCTACATCCCTGAACCCTAAGCTCGTCTAAAGCTCGAGGAAGTCCGAGCGTTGTGCTGCTGGTCCTAAATCCAAATCCGAACTCTAAACCCCCAAGAGAAAGGTTTAGGGTTTAGGGTTTCAAGAGTCAGGGTGCTTAGGGCTTTGGAGCCTTCAGCGGCTTTGGAGTGTTTTGGACCTTCCGGGACGACCATTCGGCATGAAGGGCGGTATTTAGGGGCTCAGGGAACTCAGTGCATAGGTTAGAAGTAGAGAACCCTTCTAATTGTACCGAAAGCCCGGCACCCCAAACCCTGAACCCTAAACCTCAAAAAGAATCCCTTGATTGTCTAGAGGACCTTGCACAGCAGTGGTTCTTCGTCCCGAACCCTAAACCCTAAACCCATGCACTGCAGGCCTTAAGCATGAGTTGGCACTCTAAGCAGAACAAGGTTGAGTCCTAAGCCTGCCAGACAGTTCATGCTAGAATGCAATTCTCAGTTTTTTAGGGTTGAGTATGGAAGCTCAAATAACTCGTCATATGTGTCCTCAGGGTTTCTTGATTATGACCATAGACTCTAACCTTACCCCCCCAAGCCCTGTTTTGATTATCAGGGCCCCTATATCTTAGGGCCTAGGGTCCTAAACCCTCATCCCCGGAAGCTTAATTTTGCCGCCTTCCTTGCTGCCTTGAGATTCCTTGAGGCTGCGGTTTGTGCTCACGGCTTTCTTGTCGATCCTCTTTTCTCTGGCCACACCCTCAGTCCTGTCCGAATCGTTCGTTCAAGCTTGAGTTCCGTGAGCTTTGTTGGAAGTGGTTGGCAGAACCAGAGCTCCGATCCCCTGAGAACTGTAAAGAGGCTAAGCATGGGTCTATGTAAGGGCCTGAGTAAATTAAGCACGTTATTGTTGTCTAGGACTGTTTAGATTTGCTATGGCTATACGACATGAACCCCGTAACCCGATTCTGATTATGAAGGCGCTTCGATTCTGCAAAGCTCTGTCTTTGACAGGATCGAGTTGCTCGAAGATGCCTCGAATTTGTATCTCAGGAGGAAGCTTGGTTTTGCGTTTTTCTGATGTTGTATTCCGAACTTAAGTGCCCGGTGACTGCTTGAATGGCAGGCTCTACTTTGCCGATGCTGGGTTCAGGGCTTGGGTTTCGGCCCGGCGGCGGATCCCTCAACTCCTGACTCTCGCGCCCTCAACTCTAACCTCTCAACCCCGAGCGAAAATTTGAAAGCTCAACCCCTAAAGCTCCGAACCTCGACCTCGCAATCTAGGGTTCTTGTTAAGGAATTTAAATTAAGTTACCATAGTGGAGACCTATAGTAGATAAAATGGTTTCCTGTTTATTGTAACTTAAATTGAACCCCGAAACAAGAACCCAGAACATAACTTATATAAGTTGAACCCCGAAGCAAGAACCCAGAACATATGGGTCGTAACAAGCACCAACCAACAGGATTCCCAGGATTCCTTCTTGCCTTCACAGTATGATATACCCCTAAACCCTCTTCTGATTCTTGACCCCCTATATTACGAATTCGCGTTCGCCACCTCCCAGGTCTTCGCCAACGTCGGGGAGCATCCGGTCTTACGAACCCTCCGCCGAAAATCAGGCCATGCCGATACCGGCCACAGCGCGAACAGAACACGATCAAAAATACAAACAGATTCATGCATAGATAACTCGGTAAATCGGTAAACAAAAGTACTTATACATATGCACCTACACATATACGTTCATGGTTACACACATATGCACATACACATAAGTTCACACAGAGCAACACACACACACACACTGCATTCGATTGCTTCGTGTTGCACTACGAACGCACAGGTACAGCTCTGAAACATGCCCCAACATCACAGTCCCCGTGTCAAAGTCTTTTGGAATGGACCCTGAACCCTGAAGCTTGGAGCCAAAAGAATGGTCATTCCAAAACTTCCCGGGATTCTTTGAAGGGGGTTTGAATTAGGGTTGAGGGTCTCGGATTACGATACGGGGTTGAGGGTTTAGGGTTTAGCCTTTAGGGGAAGCAGTGCTCCGCTGCTTTGCTTTCATGCCTTGTTCCACTCTTGGAGGAACCCCAAGCTGTTTCAACCCTCGATATTCAATCCTAGACCGTGAACCCTCGTGAACCCTGATCCCAGACCCTGCACCCTGAAGCCTGCGTGCCCACAAGGTGGACTCCTACAGGTGGCCTTGGCCCATCCGCGGCTGCAGCGAGTGAGGTGCGCCTTCTCAGGGCTGTACTATAGCGGTCCCAGCAAGTAGCACTACCATCAGGGTTCTTCGAGAGTTCATAGTCAAGTTAAGGGGCCCAATTCGTTGTTTAGCAGCCTTCATAGATTTGTCGCATAACATAGGGGTCTGAGCAACTCAAATTGCATGCCTTAAGGTTTCCGGAAAAAACTTTGTAGCGTAACATAGAGGCTTGAATACTGGGTAATACCATTGTTGGGCTCCTTCATTCATGTTGAAATTATTAAGGCCCCATTGTTAGATGGGGGAGTCGAACACGAACCTTGCAACTTACGTATCCAGAGGATGAGAGCATTTAGCCAGTAGTGTATATTATATGTAGATTTGAGTCCTTGCATCCTTTGAATAGTTGGCTCTGAAACTATGTACCCAATGTCGTGAGAAAGCTTATAGGGCTGACATGGCGCACAGAGTCCAAGGCTCATAGAGGGTTTCAAGTTTACCTATAGTCTCCATTGTAGTTCTTTTTTGGCGTTACCTTATGATATATAATTGGTTAAACCAAAAAAAGGAACTACAATGGAGACTATAGGTAAGGCTCATGTTTTGGAGTCCAACTTCTCGCTTCTTGTCTGCGAGGCGTGTCTGCATGAGGGCCTTCTGCCCAGACGTGCCCTTGTTGCAGCAGCAGTTGCAGCGGGAGGTGGAGTATCACTACAAGGCGCACTCACGGCGGTCACTTGAGGATTGCAGCCCGAAGCAGCAAATCAATACAACAACTGCGAGGCATCATAAGTAGCTTTGGTGAGTTTCAACAGACTGTACCATTCCCAACAACTGCTGCCCCTGTAGCCTTGTAGAGATGCAGTCTGGCAACCCTCAAAGCCAAACTCTGTATTCTTACGTAATGCTCTAGACGCTGGGCACCAAACCCTAAGCCCCGAGAACACTTTTCGCATAGCCTGCGACCTGCGAAGCCCTCGAAATAGGTCCCACACGTATACATGTGGACATGTGTACCAGTACACATGTATGTATATACGTACATATGTATGTATGTATGGAAGTATGTATGTATGCATGCATGTATGTATGTATGTATGTATGCATGCATGTATGTATGTATGTATGTGTGTATGTATGTATGTATGTATGTATGTATTCATATATGTACTCATGTATGTATGTACATACGTATTTATGTATGTATGTATGTATGTATGTATTTATGCGTGTGTATGTATCTATGTATGTGTGTGTTTAGGTCTGCATGTATGCATGCAAGCATGCATGTATGTATGTCTGTTTGTGTGTGTGTATGCATGCATGCATGCATGTATGTATGTATGTATGTATGTATGTATGTATGTATGTATGTACGCCTTTTTACTGTAAGTTCGTAGTGTCGCAGCGGCTGGGAGTGTTGTACTACTTCGGTGATACTCACCGCTGCACCTACCGTAGTCGCTGCATTCGTCATCTAGGTTATCGGTTATCGTCCTTATCGCTTGTATTGTGGTTCCACGACGGACCCACAACATTGTAGGCCAAACCCCAAACCCCCAACCCCTAATTCAGCCCAACACCCGTAAACCGCAAGACCCCACACCACGACACTAAACCCCTAAGCTCTAAAACCCCTAAACCCCAAAACCTAAACCCCTGAAGCCTTAAAACCTGCAACCAGCCAGGCCGTGGTTCAGGTTGGCTTTACGGCCATGTTCAGCGCCCGGGCCTCTCTACCGGGTTCCTGGGACCGCTTCCGGCAATTAGGGGCTTAGGGTTCTAGGGCTTTGGGGGTTCAGAGTTTTTTAGGGCTTGAGGGTTAAGGGTTTTAGGGTTTAGGGTTTAGGGGGGCGTGGAGATCGTTTTGGGTTTGTGGGGCTTTTGGGTTTCGGGTTTGGATTCTGGATGCTCTAGGTTGCCTGGCCCTATGATAATAGAAGCCTCAGGGTTGCGATTTTAAGAAGCTGCAAGGTTGAGAGTTGCAGAGACCAAGAGAGGGGAAGCCTGAAGGAAAGAAGGCCCTGAAGGAGCTAAAGACCCAGAAGCGAGCTTTGCAACCGTATCTCGGTTTAGGGTTTAGCCAAATGTGCGTGCTGTTGTCTGAGCTCCGCCATTGCAGTATCCTAAACCCCTCGACTCTACACCTGAAACCTCCGACCAAACTCCTGAACATTAAACTCTCGACCTAACAGCAAAACCCACTAAGCCAAAATCTATAAATGTCCTATACTATCGGTGAGACATGACATTGCCTGCACCCCCCCCCTTCTCCCGCTCCAGGCTTCGCAGCCGACGATCCTCAGTTTTCCGCTGGAGCGATCGGTCTTCTTACGAGAGTACTCCTCGAACATGTGCCCCCAAAAAGCTGTGGGCAAGCGATTTAGGAGTCTGGTGCTGTTGGGTTTGGGTTTATCTTTGAAAGTTTCGGGTTGATAGGGTGTGTAGTTTAGTTTTAATCGTGCTGTCCTCACTCTATTGCTGAAGTCTACGCCTTATTTTTCTGTCAGATGTCAGTTTCAGTCGTACCCTAGCTTTCTGGGGATTCTGACGGTGATAAAACCATGCCATAACCCCTAAATTGTTCAGTTTTTGTCGAAACTCCTGGCAACCCGGCAGCAGGTATGGTACCTTAGCGTACTTCTTGTCGAAGATGTTCGTCGAGGCGTGCTATCGGCATTTCAGGTTCCGTGGAGTTCTCTCATGTCGTCGCGCTTTGAAGGAAGGCTGGTATTGAGGGAGACCTTACATTGCCGCAACATGTTGCAAGTCGACGCACCAGAATCTGGAGCTGGCTCTTCGCTCAACAATGTAAGGACCTTAAGAATTCTAGTAGGGTTTGGGTAGGTCCTTGTTGTAAATATAGCGTAAAATACCCCCAAACCCCATTTTAAGTAATACGGCCCCTACATTGCTCACAGTGCTTCCATCGGTAGCAGTGGCCTCGACACAGGTGCCGTTGGGAGCTGTTCAGGCTTTGTTGGCGTTGGGTATCTCACATCGCTGCATGAGGCGCGGGGTGAGACGTACGCTGCGGGAGGGAAGGTGTGCAAGGCTACAAAAGCTGCGGATGGTCGTTGCAGACTTTTGCCAACACTGCAAGAGCTTGCTACAGTATGTGAAGTGACAGAAAGTTGGCCTCGGAACTTGTAGCATCGTCGTGTTTCTTGTTTACAACGGCTCTGCTCGTGTATTGATTGTTATCACTCACGCCGCCGTCGTCCTGTTGCTGTTCCGGTTCCAGTTCCGGTTACCGTTCCTGTTGCTGTGCTGGATGGTGGTCCTGGTTGTCGTCATGCACATGACGTCACATGGCCAGCGTCGCTGTCGTTGCCGTACCTTAGTCTTGTCTATCCTTGCGTACTGTGAATCGACTATGAACATCATCTCGATTTTCTCTGCTGGTTGATGGTTCAGATGCTGCTGCTGCTGCTCCTCGTCTTTGCTTTCACGATCTTCCTTTTGCTTCAGACGGCCTGCCTTCTGATAGTTTGAAAGTTTCTATTGCCATACTCACAGCTCCTTGTTGCAGACGAAGCGAGAGAATCTTTACACTGGCAGAGGTGCAAAAACGGATGTTTCCGAGCTCCGCAAACAGTCATAAACCGGAGGAACTCAGTCATGGAATTATCACGGCGCTCAGACAAAATTCAACAGAGGAAAATCAGGTTAAGGAGTGAGGCCACAGTCGGCATTCTTCTTGTAGTAGAAATGTGCCTAGAAATGTGCCGGTCTGTCAGTCGAATAGCGTTGTTGTTACAGACAGGCAGGCATCAACGATGCCGTACAAGATGCAGATACCTGCTTGCGAGCTTTGCAAAATCTCGTGATGAAGCCGCCAATGGTCATTCCGAAAGGGTGGAAGTCCTCATAAGAGCGCTTACTGGCGCTTACTCGCATCCGGGCAGGCTCCAATCTGCTTGTTGTCGTAACTATGGCTCCTGCTACGCCCGATGGGGCGTACCTCTGTTTCCGACATGACAGAAAACCGCATGCCGCAGCTCGTCATCAGGTTTCAAGGTGACTTCTTGGAGATGTGGGCGACGGTGGGGCCCTCAGGTACAAGAATACATTGGTTTGGTTTGGTAAGATCTCCAACAAAGGTGATGACGGACGTTATCTTGCTGGGAGGAGCAGCAGCAGCGGAGGAAGCAGCCAAGAACCGAAACCCTAAACCGTGAACTCTAGTCCCTTAAACCCTAAACCCAAAAATAACCCAAGCACTACACCCGTGTTTTAGGGTTCAGGTCCATGTGGTAGATCGGAAGCCAAAGCAGAACAGGAGCCCAAACGGCATTATGTTGCTATTTAATTACCGCAACCATTACCATATATTAATATATCCACTCCTACCGCTACTACTACTACTACTACTACTACTACTACTACTACTACTACTACTACTACTCCTGCTGCTACTACTACTACTACCACCACGACGACAAATGCTGCTGCTGCTACGACTCCTCCTACTCCTGCTCCTACTCCTACTCCTACCCCTACCCCTACCTCTACCCCTACCCCTAGCCCCAGCCCTAGCCCTAGCCCTAGCCCTACCCCTAGCCCTACCCCTACCCCCACCCCTACTCCTACTACTCCTTTATTACATTGGTACAGGTCTGTCTCCTGAACGCTTGCGCCGTCTCCTTCTCGCTCCTCATCGGCTGCCCGGAGCTCAGCGAACCTGCGTCCAGCCCAAGCCCCAAAAACCTGAAAGAAAGAACCCTAAACCCGAAACCCTAAACCTAAACCCTAAAACCCTGAAGCCCTAAACCCTAGACCCCAAACCCCGAAACCCTAAGCCCGAAGCCCGAAGTCTGAGCTAAGCCAAGCAGTCGACCCCTTGAAACCTTCAGACCTGGGCCACTAAGACTCTGGGGCTTGGGTTTAGGGTTTAGGGTTTAGGGTTTAGGGTTTAGGGTTTAGCGCTTGTTTTCCGTGAAAGGTGTACCCCCAATCGGCACGAAGAAAAAGGACGCACGTCGGAAGTCTTCAGCAAAAGCGTCGTTCGTCACGTACGCGGAGCTCTTACATACCCACCCCAACGAAGCCACCCAGAGCTCTCGTACTGAGCTTAAGTTCTTAAGCGTTTCCGATAGAGAAGCATCTGCACACGAGAGTGCAATGTCTGGTATAGTACTGACAGTACTGTCTAGAGAATATATTAAGAAATACTTGTATACACACATGCAGTTACCTGTACATGGCTGTAATTGTAGCTTTACAATTGCCATTTACCCCTAGGTAAGACTAGAATGTCTTTTGTTTCATTCCCGTGCAGGTGTGTTACGCTCCTGTACGTGAGAAAGCATAAGCTGAGCAGTCAGGCCTGTAAATGGCTGTAATTGTAGCTTTACAATCACCATTTACCTGGGTAAGACTATTGCTGCTGTGGCTAAACCCTAAATTTCCTATGGTGTAGGCACCGTTGCTTGCTTGTTTTAAGCAAAGCAAGTGCAAGACTGACGTTGCCGCTGTTGTTAAACCCTAAAATTTTCATAGTGTCAACACCATTGCCCTTATTTTAAGCAAAGCAAGTAAAAGATTGGAGAAGAGTAGATGTCAGTTAGGTTCTAGGGTGGGGAGGGGATGTGGCACGGAGTTGTTCTGAGAGCGAAACAACTCGGGATGTAGATGTCGTAAAGTGAGTAAAAGATTGAAGATGCTAAACCCTAAATTTCCTATGGTGTCAACACCGTTGCTTGCTTGTTTTAAGTAAGGCAAGTGAAAGATTGAAGTTGCTGCTGTCGCTAAACCCTAAATTTCACATGGTGTCAACACCGTTGGTGTCGCTAAACTTTAAAATTCTCATGGTGTCAACACTGTTGCTTGCTTGTCTTAAGTAAAGCAAGTGAAAGACTGAAGCTGCTGCTATCACTAAACCTTAAAATTCCTATGGTGGCAACACCGTTGCTTGCTTGTTTTAAGTAAAGCAGCTGAAAGCTCGCAGTTGCTGCTGTGGCTAAACCCTAAATTCCCTATGGTGTCAACACCGTTGTTTGCTTGTTTTAACTGCCCGGTTGAAGGCCAGCACGAGAATGTTGTTGTTCGGCCCTGACACCATTCCAGTAGGGTGGTCTTGTCACTGCCCGGTGCCGCCGTGATGAGCATCGCTTTCCGGTGTTAAGTAAAGCAAGTAAAAGATTGACGTTCCTGCTGTCGCTAAACCTTAAATTCCCTTACGGTATCAACACCGTTTCTTGCTTGTTTTAAGTAAAGCAAGCAAAAGATTGAAGTTGCTGCTGTCGCTAAACCCTAAAATTCCTATGGTGTCAATACCGTTGCTTGCTTGTTGTAAGCAAGGCAAGTAAAAGATTGAAGTTGCTGCTGTCGCTAAACCCTAAATTCCCTATGGTGTCAACACCGTTGCTCGCTTGTTGGAAGTAGAGCAAGTAAAAGATTGAAGTTGCTGCTGTCGCTAAACCCTAAATTCCCTACGGTATCAACACCGTTTCCTGCTTGTTTTAAGTAAAGCAAGTGAAAGATTGAAGTTGCTGCTGTCGCTAAACTCTAAAATTCCTATGGTGTCAACACCGTTGCTTGCTTGTTGTAAGCAAGGCAAGTAAAAGATTGAAGTTGCTGCTGTTGCTAAACCCTAAATTCCCTATGGTGTCAACACCGTTGCTTGCTTGTTTTAAGTAGAACAAGTAAAAGATTGAAGTTGCTGCTGTCGCTAAACCCTAAATTCCCTATGGTGTCAACACCGTTGCTTGCTTCTTTTAAGTAAAGCAAGTAAAAGATTGAAATTGCTGCTGTCGCTAAACCCTAAATTCCCTATGGTGTCAACACCGTTGCTTGCTTCTTTTAAGTAAAGCAAGTAAAAGATTGAAATTGCTGCTGTCGCTAAACTCTAAAATTCCTATGGTGTCAACATCGTTGCTTGCTTGTTGTAAGCAAGGCAAGTAAAAGATTGAAGTTGCTGCTGTCGCTAAACCCTAAATTCCCTATGGTGTCAACACCGTTGCTTGCTTCTTTTAAGTAAAGCAAGTAAAAGATTGAAGTTGCTGCTGTCGCTAAACCCTACATTTCCCTATGGTGTCAACACCGTTGCTTGCTTGTTTTAAGTAAAGCAAGTAAAAGATTGAAGTTGCTGCTGTCGCTAAACCCTAAATTTCACATGGTGTCAACACCGTTGCTTGCTTGTTTTAAGTAAATCAATTCAAAAATCTTATGCGGTGGCTTTTGCTGCGTGAGCGAGGACACATAAAATGCAGGACAAGGACCCACGCTTGCTGTCGTCAAACGGCAACGTCACTGACCAGTGGCTGAACGGTCATCGCAAAGAAGCTTGATAGCTCCAGTTGCTATCGTAAAGCGATGGCGTGACCACAGCCTCAGCTTTTGGCAAGGTCTTTGAAAGTGCCTGGATGAGTAATGGTGCTTGGCAATGAACTTCTGAGGAGATTCAAGTCATGACATATAACAGCTCTGCTTGCTGTCGTCAAGCGATGACGTGACCGCAGCCTCAACTGTTGTCGGCAGTGCTTGCTTCTTACACTACTTTTCAAGAGTCTTCACGGTAGCCCACGGTCTGCTGGCTTCCTTTAAAGCGCGCGCCAGTGCGCGCGCGCGCGTTGTAGGAGACCGAGACCCTCGGCCCACGGAGCTCGGCTCCCGGCTCTTCCCTAGTTAAGTAAGCGTAGCCTAGAGCCTCCCCTTAAAGAGTCGCCACGAGGAGTGCACACTAAAACGTTTTTTTTTTGATGTTTACATGTAAATAACACAGTTTCACTGAAGTTCGCTTTCGGACAGCATTGGAAGCCTTAGCAAAGTAAGCTCTCTGGAGCTGTCCCTAAGCTTTCTCTATATGGTTTTGTACGATCTAAACCACTGAGTCCTTGTTAAAGCTTAAAAAACTTACTAACAAGGCAAATCGAGCTCAAACCTGGAAAAAAGCTAAAATCAGGCAGGTCGGATTTTGACGACTTGCTCCGTTCCAGCTGTTATCCATACCCCCCTACATGAAATGATCTAACTAAGCTAAATATCCGCGTCTTAAATCGTTTTCGTGTAGCAAACGACTGAAAATAGCAAATTTCGTGGATCTGAGGAGGTCGATTTTTTTTCTTCCGTTTAAAGACCTGGCGACCATACAAGTATATATGGTTTGATCCCCTCTATCTGAATATGCGATCGTTTTAATAAAAAAACGAAGTTATCAACAAAAAAATTTTCAAACCCTTAACTTGTAGGGTTTTGGTTTTTTTTTTCGGGAACCGGGATCCGGATCTAGCCGACTTGACTCGGAAGTTATGCGAACATTCGTTGCGAGCTGCGGGAGGTATTCCAAAAGTTTCATAGGTTCAAGCTCTGTCTAAAAATGCCAGAGATAGCTCTTAAAAGGCTGCGCACATTCGAAAAAAACTAGAAAACGTTCTGAAAACCGAAATTTTCAAAGTTTCGTCAGTATTATTGCCGGCTAGCATGGTTTTTGACGTCGGGAATCCAAGTCAAATATTGACCGGGGTCGAATCCAGCTCGAAAATGCCTTCATATCAGCTTTAAGTGCTTCCCAGATACTAAAATTCCACACTTTTCATTTCGAGCTTGATCTTTCCAAACGAAAGTTGCTATATTTTCAAGTTAGAGGCTTTTGAAAGTTTCAACACTAGTTCAGTGGTGTAGGGGGCATCAAACCCTCTCTAAAAATGCTAAAGATATGATCTAAAAGTATGCGCAACTACCAAAATTCCACACTTTTCATTTGGAGCGCGATCTTTCCAAACGAAATTCGCTATGTTTTCCAAGTTAGAAGCTTTTGAAAGTTTCAACAAGGACTCAGTGGTGTAGATCGTACAAAACCATATAGAGAAAGCTTAGGGACAGCTCCAGAGAGCTTACTTTGCTAAGGCTTCCAATGCTGTCCGAAAGCGAACTTCAGTGAAACTGTGTTATTTACATGTAAAAATCAACAAAAAAAAGCGTTTTAGTGTGCACTCCTCGTGGCGACTCTTTAAGGGGAGGCTCTAGGCTACGCTTACTTAACTAGGGAAGAGCCGGGAGCCGAGCTCCGTGGGCCGAGGGTCTCGGTCTCCTACAACGCGCGCGCGCACAGCGGTTTTCTACAGACATGGCTTTCTCGCAGTCGGTGAAGCGGCGACGCCTGCCACAGAACAGCCTCCGCACGGCCAGATTGCCGTGGACAGCGAAGTGCATGAGTCCGAACTGCCTTTGCGCCCATCGGCATTGAAGACTTCGAGCATCTACAAGCGGCAGCAGCAAGAGCAACAGGCCTGGGCATCTTGGCTGGAGCATCGCGAGGCCGAAGAAACCGGCAAGTTCTCAGACGAGTCGGAAGTTTCACAGCCACCAGACGACGACCTCGAAGACCTCTGGAGTGATTTCGACGCTGTCGCGCCACGAACAGAGTCAGTTGAGCAAGAGGAAGCAGCAGCAGAGCTTTGGCAGGCATTTGAGAAGTCAAAGCAGTCGCCGCAGAATGTCACCGAGGACGCACCCGTCAATGGCGATCGCATCCTTGTGCTGCTCGAGCCCTATCTTCGACTCATACTATGTGGTATTAAAACTCTGGAAGTACGAAGCTGTGCCTACAAGCCACGACGTGTTTGGTTGGGCAGCAGAGGTCTTATTTTTGGACGAGCGTACATCTCGAATGCGAGAAAGGTCGAGTCGGATGAAGAATGGCAAGGTCTGGTGTCCCAGCAC